CCCGGGAGGAGTTGGAGGAAGTGTCTGGAGAGAGGGAAGTCTGGGCATCTTTGGATAAGCGGAGGAAAATGGATGGATGGATGGATGGATGGATGGGTGGCTTTCTTACCAAGACTTAGATGAGAAGATCAAGCCTGTTCTCATGTCTGTACATTAAACATCTTAGCTTTGCATAAAGACTGGAAACAAAGGGATGCCACTAGCCTGACTCTGTGCAAAGATCTGAAATCTGCCAAACTGTCTCTGTTTTACTGCAAACCGAGAAAGCAAATAAGCACATTCCCCAAAATGTCAAACTATTCCCATAGTATATTGCAAAGAGCACCTTCTTTCAGTTGTCATGTCTAAAAGTATAAAGCAACCCTAACAAAGCTGAAGCTACTAACCGTTGTATTGCCTCTCGGAAGTCTCTGCTCATAAAAAGCACCTGAAGCACGCTGTTCAAATAGCATGTCAGACCTGGACTCTTCAGGCCATAGTAATCTAAAAACACAATTGGCACATTATCATAAAACTCAGAAATGGATGAACCACATGCTCAAGTGGTTTCACTTTATGTCTCTTACCTGTGATGTTGAGGTTGTCTAGTTTCTCTCTGAAAGCTTTTACACGGTCATGATTCATACTGACATCCCTCGACTGGGAGCATGGACATTTTTAGAATCTGATCTGGCTTTTCAGATCAGATTTTATCAACCTGTTCATGCAGATGAGATACAGCAGATGTCAAGGGTATTCCCAAGGTAAGCTAAGACTCACAGTAACCAGTAAAACACCTGCAGAAAGACAACCTTTAAGGATCCAGCTGGGTACTTTTAATGGATGACGTTACTTACACACACTGTTTATACCCTAGGAAAACAATTGTTAACAACAACAACAGAACAACATAAAATGATAAACACAGACAGAACTCGACAGGCTGATGCTCAAATGAAGCCTATATGTTTCAGAAAGTTAGTGTCTGAGCACATGTGGCCAAATGAAACTTGCACAGTGTAGCCCACGGAATCACACTATGAAATCAGATTTAATATTCTACAAGAAGACCACAGGACGAAACGTTTCAGTCCAAACAAACCAGCAGCAACACAGAAGTAGCTGTTGTCTTTGGGTGTTATGGAAACGTCCTCCACAGCCACGCGTCTCCAAACGAGAGCGCACAACATGACAAAGGTAAACTACGGTAAGACAATAAACTCTCTACAAGGTGCTAGACACATGCACACTCTTACCGTCGGTAAACACACGCGACTTGTCGCTCGGGTGTGTAACAAATGGGAGGGTAAAACACGAGGACGCTCGCTGTGCGCGTCCGTTTGCCACCTTCTGAAATTCTCCTTTCACTTTCGATACCAGCGGGGTTAAAGGAGGAAGACGCGCACAAATCGTGTAGACTTTACCCAACTTCACCGAGTCTGAGCGAAAGTAATCCTCCAGTGTTTGTGCAGTTCAGGGGTGGCAGTGCTTCCTGTCACAATAAGGAGGAAGTCCGAAAAACCGAGACCAGCTGTTGCACAAAGGTAAGACGTGAGATGTTGTCTTAATGTACTTTCAGTCGACACCAGTGGGATATAAACATTTAGGGAGGGTTAACATTTCTGCTCTAAAATAAGATTTAGAAAGTGTTTAGTACTTCAGTGGCTAAAACTTTTATTATTTCTGATTGTGTCTTTGTCTTAGTTAATAGTAGGATCACTCTCAGTCTTTGAACCTTTTCTTAGTCTCCAGATAGGCGAGCATGTTCTGAACCTGACAATAAAACTAAGGTGTTGACCACAGTCACCTGGAACTTCCCTAAATGCCATGTCAGCAAGTCAGGTTAATAAAGTCAGCTTAGTCATGCTGGTACAATCTGTTGACAGTAGCACCAGAGGGTTCACACAGCGAATTATGAACTATTGTAACCAGTCAGGGCTGAACACACACACACACACACACACACACACACACACACACACACACACACACACCCACCCCTTCAGATTCAGTGTGGTTTACACTTCCTCCAGATGTATTTCATGTAGCCTACATCAGCAAAAAAGAAAAAAAAAAGAAAAATCTACCAAGACTTCATAAACAATATGCTCTAACTCCAGAACTTCCCTAAGAATAATCAAGTTTTAATGTTTTCTTCAGTATCAAAGTACTCCAGTGATAGTACAGTGTTTGTACATGGGTACATTCTAAGGAAGAACTGGTAATGGCTAATTCGGCACAGATTTAGAGGCACCAGATTGCCAAAATATAAAGAAATGTATGCTTTAACAAATGCAGCTCAAGTTGCAGCCCACTTCAAACCATGGCAACATTATACTTCATGTTACATGAATAAGTCCTGTCCACACTGTTCATATATGTAAAAGTCCTGTGATCATGATACACACAATATCAAGTCTGTATAACAGAGTAATGCATGATTTGAAATGACATTTTTCCAGAAGGATCAAAATGAGCCTCCAGGAAGAGGTGGAGAAGAGCTACGACCCGAACGATGCCACCCTGAAATTTGTCGACAGGGAGGACGACATAGATCCGTTATGTAAGAGTCATTTCTCTCTGTTTTACTGTCCATGTAGATAAAACAGTGCGACAGTGTTATTAGTTAATGCTGTGGTTCTAATTTTATTTCTCTACTGAATTTTACAAACAGGTAACCTTTACAGAAACACTGGTCACATTCCTGAGTAACTTTCTAAAACCCTTCTGTGACCGCGGAACATTTTCCTAACCAAAACATGTTTGCTGGGCTCACTTGTATTCTATTCATCATATTCTATTACTAAACTACCACCTGTTGTGCACTTCAGCTGACAGCTGCCTCAGAGCAGAGATGTCCTGCGGTCACGCCGTCACTCCTGAATCTCTAACGTCGTGGTGTCGCAGCCTGCTAAAGCAGGTAGCTCATGTTTTTAAAGCACTTTTATTTTATATCAAAATTTTAATCAAAGCAATCTGGTCATGATAAAAGGAGAAAGTGATTATAAAAAAACAATTTGAATCACCATATTATGTTACAACATGAGCAGTGTGTTAAATGTAACAAAAAGTAAACTGTCTGCAACACTTCATGTCAGAACATTTTACATTTTCAGATTCATTATTTAATTGAAAATGTATTGGGGCTGCTGCTCTCTTGATAATGTTCACTGTATCTTTACCATAAACAAACATTTTTGTCTTCTGTAATCCTAAATAAATTCTTCTCTTTCTTGTTTCAAGGGGAAGTATGAATTCAGATGCCCCGCATTAGTAGATGGAACCAAACAGTGCAATGAGCTGTGGCCGTACAAAGAGGTGCGCAGACTGGCTGATCTGTCTGTGGAGGAAATGGAGGAGTTTGAAGAGTCCATGGCCCGACTGGCTGCAGCAGACTACTGTGAGATCAAGCCAGTAAGTGTCCAGTGGTTTAGCCATCCTGAATACTGACCTTTCAGTGGAATAACTTTGGTTTTGTTATTTACTAAATAAAATCACTTCAGTATGTCCCTCTGTTGTTTTCCCCATCAGTGCCCTCGGTGCAGAACAAATGTGGAGAGGAAGAATCTCTCCAACCTGTGTGTCCAGTGCACCATATGTACAGCAGATAAGAAGAAGGCCTACCAGTTCTGCTGGCAGTGTCTGAAGCGGTGGAAGGGTCCAGGCCCTCGATCCGACCGCTGCAACAACAATGGCTGCAACAACAAGGATCTCGAGCTTCTCAGAAACTGCAAGGACACCACCCTCCCTCAGGTGCAAGGGGTCGACAGGTGTCCTTCCATCCGGGCCTGTCCCACCTGTGGTCAGATAGCGGAGCACGACAGTACAGGCTGCAAGAACATCACCTGTTGTCGCTGTCAGGTCGAGTTCTGCTTTGTGTGTCTGAAGCTCACTCCGGAGTGTCTGAAGACAAGCTCCTACTTCATCCCCTGCAGCGACGGAGTGGCCCCCAGACAAACCTCCATACCTGTGTGGCACAGACGCTAAGAAAGAATGTGACTGTTCCTGTCCGCCGTCAGTCTGAGACACTCACAGCAGGTGTTTTACAACGAAGAGTCTGTTTGCTCTTACAAATCAGCAGCATTAAAATGATCTGTTCTTTTCACTGATAAACCTGAATTATGTTTTTAAATAACACATTTTGGTGATCATATTGTCAAAAATGATATTGTGGAAATTAGTTCCTTACAATTTGTGTATGTAGAAAAACATAACTACATAAATCTACAGTTTCCCTTTATTACCTAAAGGGCACGGTCCTGTTTGCTCACATTTGATTGATTATAAATAAAAAAACCTACCAACTGTCATCAGATTTAGATTCAGATGTCGATGTAGCATCTCATCACTTGCAGGAAGAAGCTGATTGAAAAAATACATTGTTAGAAACATGACTGCTTTTTTTGTGAAACCAATGCACGCTTGTAGTAATTCATAAATATAACAGTGATATTGCACTGGAAACTGCTTTTTTAAAATTCTATTTGGACAAGATTTGCACTTTATATTAATGTTTGTTTAGAGCTGTCAGTATTACAACTAATTCACAACCATAAACGGTGACAAAAATCAGACGAGGGTTTCTCTTGATGTCAGCTGATGGCAAAGTCAGCCAGGAATTCATTTCCTAACACAAACATTTGATTTAAAATGCATCAATGTAGAATTATATGCATTTGTATTTAGATGTCTTAAAAGGAACTGAGCCAAATGAGTCTGTAATAGAATAACTTTAACTAAAAGCAACTTTAAAAGCTCTTCTTTGGCTCTGTCTTGTTTAAGCTGCTGTAAATAAAATTAAGCTGAGTTGAGTTTGTTTCTTAAATAAAAGCTGGCTATGTTTTGTAAAGGCTATTTATGGCCACAACATTAACACAACTACCAGGTGCTGGAAACACACATCCTTTTAAGGTCCAACGACACGCACTGCTTTTTGTTTAGGTGTGTACCTATGGGAGGGTGAAACATGAGAACACTCATTCCATCCTCATTTCACTTTCGATACCAGAATGTTTAAAGGAGGAAGACAAAACAAACGACACAGGGGAATAGACACTCACAGCTGAAATTAGACACAGACTGTGGAGTCTTTACTGAATTTGAGCAAAACAATCCTCCAGAGTTTGTGTAGCTCCGGTGGCTGTGGTGCTTCCTGTTGGAATAAAAGGGAAGTCCGTAAAACAGAGACAAGTTGTCACAGAAGAAGGTGAGACATAAGATTTTCTCTTACTAATTCACCGTCAGTGTTGGTTACACAGGTAGGATAGAAAGATTTTGGGAAGTTTGTCATTTCTCCTATTATAGTTCATTTCTGACTGTGTCTTTACCTTGATTAATAGTAGTCACTCTCAGTCAGACTCTTTATTAATCTCTGTTTAGTCTACAAACAGGTGAACAAAGTAAACTTGTTCTAAACTGGCAATAAGTTGTTTTCCATAGTCAAATGGAAAATCCCCAGTGAATCCAGTTTAATGACGCCAGCTCAGTCATGCTGATAACATTTGCCGACAGTCTTATCAACAGTAGGCTAATACCAATATCTCAGGTCAGCTGACTTCTATTAACTCAGCACAGACATGATGCATACATTTCAGTGTGGTTTAAATTTCCTTGGAATATCATTATAGTCTATGTACATCATCAATAAACATTCATAAATTCATAGAATTCATAAACTAAATGTTGCATTAACTGCAAAACTTCCCTAAGAATAATCAAGTTTTAATGTTTTCTTCAGTATCAAAGTACTCCAGTGATAGTACAGTGTTTGTACATGGGTACATTCTAAGGAAGAACTGGTAATGGCTAATTCGGCACAGATTTAGAGGCACCAGATTGACAAAATATAAAGAAATGTATGCTTTAACAAATGCAGCTCAAGTTGCAGCCCACTTCAAACCATGGCAACATTATACTTCATGTTACATGAATAAGTCCTGTCCACACTGTTCATATATGTAAAAGTCCTGTGATCATGATACACACAATATCAAGTCTGTTCACCAGAGTAATGCATGATTTGAAATGACATTTTTCCAGAAGGATCAAAATGAGCCTCCAGGAAGAGGTGGAGAAGAGCTACGACCCGAACGATGCCACCCTGAAATTTGTCGACAGGGAGGACGACATAGATCCGTTATGTAAGAGTCATTTCTCTCTGTTTTACTGTCCATGTAGATAAAACAGTGCGACAGTGTTATTAGTTAATGCTGTGGTTCTAATTTTATTTCTCTACTGAATTTTACAAACAGGTAACCTTTACAGAAACACTGGTCACATTCCTGAGTAACTTTCTAAAACCCTTCTGTGACCGCGGAACATTTTCCTAACCAAAACATGTTTGCTGGGCTCACTTGTATTCTATTCATCATATTCTATTACTAAACTACCACCTGTTGTGCACTTCAGCTGACAGCTGCCTCAGAGCAGAGATGTCCTGCGGTCACGCCGTCACTCCTGAATCTCTAACGTCGTGGTGTCGCAGCCTGCTAAAGCAGGTAGCTCATGTTTTTAAAGCACTTTTATTTTATATCAAAATTTTAATCAAAGCAATCTGGTCATGATAAAAGGAGAAAGTGATTATAAAAAAACAATTTGAATCACCATATTATGTTACAACATGAGCAGTGTGTTAAATGTAACAAAAAGTAAACTGTCTGCAACACTTCATGTCAGAACATTTTACATTTTCAGATTCATTATTTAATTGAAAATGTATTGGGGCTGCTGCTCTCTTGATAATGTTCACTGTATCTTTACCATAAACAAACATTTTTGTCTTCTGTAATCCTAAATAAATTCTTCTCTTTCTTGTTTCAAGGGGAAGTATGAATTCAGATGCCCCGCATTAGTAGAGGGAACCAAACAGTGCAATGAGCTGTGGCCGTACAAAGAGGTGCGCAGACTGGCTGATCTGTCTGTGAAGGAAATGCAGGAGTTTGAAGAGTCCATGGCCCGACTGGCTGCAGCAGACTACTGTGAGATCAAACCAGTAAGTACCCAGTGGTTTTAGTGGTTTGAATGCCGATTCTAAACAAAATGCACAAATTACCATAGTGTGTACTACACAGTGTTTTCTCCATCAGTGCCCACAGTGCAAAACAAATGTGGAGAGGAAGGATCTGTCCAACCTGTGTGTCAAGTGCACCATATGTACAGCTGACCAGAAGAAGACCTACCAGTTTTGCTGGCAGTGTCTGAAGCCGTGGAAAGGTCCAGGCCCTCAGTCTGAACACTGCAGCAACGATGGCTGCATCAACAAGGACTTGCAGCTTCTGCAGGTGTGTGACACCATTAGCCTGCCCAAGGTAGAAGGGGTCACCAGCTGCCCCTCTGTCAGAGTCTGTCCTACATGTGGCATGAGGGTGAGACATAACCAACAAAGCTGCAAAACTATCAACTGTCCTGGCTGCAATATAACATTCTGTTTTGTCTGCCTCAAACTAAAGAGTGAATGTTGCCAGACCAGTTCACCATACAAAATGTGTACTAGTGGTGTGGCTCCTAGACAGACCTCTATCCCTGTATGGCAGAAAAAAAGAAAATAAAAAAAAGGCCCGTCTTTACCTAGTGGGCAATTTAGCAATACTAAATATCTAAATGAAATTCAAAATACCGAAAGAAGAAGAAGAAGAAGATCTCTCCTCTTCAAAGATCTTCTTCTTCCTTGGACCATTGGAGTGCACAGGAACTATTGTTTAGGACTTTAGTCTCTCAACAGTCAAAGTTTTCAGAGACCACTGTGATCCTCTGGGGCTGAGTGGACCCTGACCCTGCAGGAGCGATGCTTCCTGCACAACACCATGACTACAGCCAGGAGACACACAGCAGCAGAGAAGCAGAGCGCTGTGGCTACATGCAGCTCTGTGGGATGTCGGAGGGGCGACCGGGGCCTGTCCTGGGCTGAAGTGACCGTCTCACTGGGATCACTGAATAAAACACAAGAAACTAGGATTAATATCAGTTACCAACTACTGTAGCAAGAGGGTGCGCTTGTTTAAAGCTGTACTTACCTTGTGTTAGAAACAGGAACTGTACTGACATCATCAGAGGGAGGAGCCACATCCGGGTACACACACACCTTCCTGTCAGGGCAGAAAACTACACCCTGGTATCCTTTGATCTGAGGATGGAAACAGCAAAGGAAAGACAGATACAATGCTAATATTCCAGGAAAGAGGCAGTGACGTGTTTGTATGTAACATTTTAAACATCAACTGTGTAAACCAACTGTGATTTATTAATAAATTTACTGTAAACAAGTCTGATGACTGGAGAAGCGGAACCTCCCTGCAGCACTGTGGCTTACAGTTTGTGTCAAACATGTAACACACTGTAACAAGCACTTAACAAAACACCTGCACCTTCAATTACACTTTCATTAATACATTTACCTTCTTTTATATGACTTATTACTATATGTATAATAGAGCTTGTTTCTTAAAGCATACTGAACCTTTTCTGAATACAAGGTATTAAACTAGTCATTTTGCCACATTTCATTTGTTGCCATAATAGTTTTAAAGTTATTTTTGTGTCACACAGAAAAAATAATGAAACCAGAACTGGAGCTTTTACTGTAAATTTATATTTTACAGTTTAAAAGGCGGTTTTCCATCTTTGCCCTTACACCATAAAAAGCTGCCCTGGTTCATCCACATCTATAAGACTTCATTTGGTTTGCTGTTCAAATATACCTATAGGGAAATATTTTAAATGAACAGATACATCATGTTTCTTTTTTTAATGTGGTTTCCTGGTCTTCCCAGAGGGATTTGTGAGTCTGATGAACACTGTTCACTGTGGAAAGAAGCTGTCTTGTCACCTCAATGCTGCCCCCTGCTGGACAGTCCACCCATTCAGAGCCAGACACCTGGATTTGGTACCTGTGTGGTCCGGTACACCTGTGTCTGTAACAGCGGCCTTCCACAGAGCTGCTGAATAAAAGAGACTGACTCTGGTTCTATAAAGAAAGACAGGTGGAGAAATAGGACATTAACTGTGAGGAAAACAGAGGTGACAGGCAAACAGTTGCACACACACACACACACACACACACACACACACACACACACACACACACCTGTCTGGTCAGGTTGGAGAAAAAGCAACGGCTGTCGAAGCCAAAAATCTCCCCACTCCTGTCCTCTTCAGGCGACCACCTGCTATTTTCCCTTTTCCAACATTCACTCTGAAGAATGAGAAGAAGCAAGAGAGGGAAATTAACCCGGTGCAGATTATAATTAAATACACACAAAATAAAGCTGACCCCATCATCCCTGCATTACAGAGTTTTAAAAAAAGCATAAGTATGAAGAATGTACATAGTTTTGGACACGTGGACATGTAGGGA